CCATACTTCACATAGGATGAGTGAATCTCTGTGAAAATAGATGTATCTACTTTTTTTTCTGTGTCTGTGAGGTGCTGTGTGTGAAGAGTGTAGTGTGTGTGTGACAGATGAAGTGTGTGTGATGGTTCTGTGCATGTGTGAGTGGGCAGTGCTCTCCTCCCATAGCAACTGCAGTGCACGTGCTGTGGTTGCTATGGGTACTCCATAACCAGCGCTTCTAGCAATTCATAGGGACTATAGGAATGGAATGACCTGTGCCAATGTCACTGTCAAGATTTGAGCTGCTGGGGATGTGTTTCAAGCAAGGCAAGTCAAAGAAGACTTTGGGAGGATCGGAGGAAGGTTCACAGCTGGGTGTTACACATTATATTTTACATGAATACACAGTGTATTGTTATTATATAGTGTATTCAACGTGTATGGGAACGATTTAAAGTTGTTTTTCTCATCACAGGATCGCTTTAAGAATAATATTTGATCAGACTGCAAACAGCTGGGACAATACACATAAAAACATTGCAGTCGCTCACAGAAAGCATAATTTCTCGATATTTATAACATTCAATAAGAAATAATAAACAGCACTTAACACACAATTTTTTAATTCAAAAGCAAACATGATTTAAAAAACAGTTACGAATAATACAAAATACATAATAAAAATATCACTTCTCTTCCATAGCAGCCGTAGGTTTTAAAGGCAGTTGGGGTTTGATGAACCAGCATACAAGAACCCAAGTGACAACCCAAAGCAGCTACTCTTATTTCTAAACACATTGCAGCTTTTCTTACAATTAGTGCAAAAACTATTGGCTGTGTTCTGAAGGATGGACAAATGCAACATTCCAGAACGCCTTAAGGAGAGTCCAAGAAGAAGAAATTTAGATTTTAGAAAATTCAGATCTTGGCGTCCAACAATCAAATAAATACGGCAAGAAATGTCATATTACTTTCTGGGTTTGGGAAAAGCTACCTTTTGGTTCCCAAGATATAACAAACAAGAAAAAAATAAAACTCAAGAAATAAATAATCCAGGGTTCATTAATTCATTTTGCACACATTTCAGACAAATATAGCAGAACTGGAAATATAGGTAAGCGAGAGTATTTTTTCCAGTTAGGCTTTTTTGGGTTAAAATGTGTAGTTTCCTGGTCAATTATTTATAGATCCCATTGTCAGCTCTCTGAAATTCCTAGTTGAACCTACTCCCAGTACTCTCAGGCAATCAATGGAGGCCAAAAATCGGTCGGTTGGATGAATTAATTATGGAATGGCAGTTTTATAATTTGAGGTAGAAACCTCTCCCTGGCTGTCACTCAGACAGCCAAGGAGGTTTTCCTCCACCAGCTCCAGAGAGCCAACGGAAGCGGCAGACATGCTAAGTGGGAGCTCGCGTGGCTCCCTCCCCTCTTTATTAGAGCTCATTGAGAAGCATAGGAAGCCGCGATCATGTGTGTGCACTCGCAGCTCTTGAGAAGCATTGACAAACTTTCAATGGAGTCTTCCTTTAAATGGAGAGACACCACAACTCTCTAAGCAAGCTCAGTGTAGTGATTATGTTGGTTAGAGAGTGCCTTACTCTAAACTTTGTTTTAAAGCATTCTACACCCCACACCATACATATAAAATGACGCTATGTTATACATGTTAATTCTAAACAAATAGGATTGGTAGAATGCTAAACTTCCCTTTAAATTTTCATCACCTCACAATCACCCATTATTTAAATTCCATTATTTTGTTCTAATATTCTTTATAAATTGATTGCATTAAATTATAATCAGAGAAAAAAATATATATAAAAACGACTATGGTGCATTGCATTTCATTCTGGAAAAGCAGTTGCAATAGTCCTTTAGAGAAGTATGATGCATGGCAAAGCCTTGAAAAATTGCCGTATGATACCGACGTAGTGCAGCTGTTTATTTGAGATGTCCCTGAAATCATCACAGTTTCAATCGAACATTGAGATAAAACCAGTTTGCTATAAGTGTTCCATATAGTAAGTTATGTTAGGAGTCACACTACTCTCTCTGTTCTGGAATATAGCTACAAATGATCCATGTCATGACTGTCTCAGTACTACACCCTCCTTGGTACAGACATTCAACGGACCACAAGCTGAGAGGTAGACGTTGGAACTAAGTACATCTCAAAGTCGTTCTGCAGTGAAGATAACATCATAAGTGTCATTAGTTGCAGTAACACAGGACTAGCATTAATTAGAAACAATGGCGGCACAGATTGGTAGAAAATACAAAAAAAATTTTTAAAAGTGCAGTCATTCTATAATGAGCAATTTTCCATGATGCAGCTTTATGTCGAGGCAGCAAAATATGACAGAGCTCAAAAAAACAAAATTCTTCTAGGTATAAATGCGACTGGGGAGTCACCACAGGCCATTGGCTGATCTGCAAATGATAGAAAAGGAAAAAATAAATAAATTTGTAAAAACAGATCATGTGTTACACATAGGCCTGGATTTAATTTTTTGGAGGATACGCTTTTCAAATTATTTCATATTTCTGGATACAATTTAATAAATATATTAAAATACATTTGTCAAAATATGATGTCATTTTACATAGTTACATAGGCTGAATAGAGACAGGCACCAATCAAGTTCAGCCTCATTTCTGTTTTTGCGGTTGATCCAAAAGAAGGCCAAAAAAATGTTTTTGATAATTTTGCAACAAACTAGGAAAAAAATCCTTTTGTGAACCCAGAATGGCAGTCTGATATCTCCTTGGATCAAGAAGAAGCTGTTACCCTACAAATGAAAAATTATATCCCTAAATATTATGTTTTTGCAGCAGAAGATTCTACATCCAGGGCCGGTGCTCCGTATAGGGAAACTAGGCGGCCGCCTAGGGCGCTGCTTAAGGGGGGAGGGGGGCGCCGGCCCGCTCGGAAGCACTTACATTGTTGCTCACTAGCGCCCGCTCAGCCAGGTCCCCCCTCCCAGGCATGCATTGCGGCAGCGCGCGGGCGCTTCACTTCCTTGCTCCTGTCCCTTCCGCTGGATGTGGGGAGAAGTGGGCGGGAGCATAATGTGCAGAGAAAGGGCAGCCAGGCGCAGGGAGTGAACAGTAATGCAGGTAAGGAATGTCAGAGAATGTGTGTTAGTCTGCTTCATGTATGTATGTTTTGGTCAGTGTGTGTGTCTGTATGGGTCAGTGTGTCTGTATAGGTGTGTCTGTATGTATGGGTCAGTGTGTGTTTATGAGTCTGTGTGCGTCAGTCTACATGGGTTAGTGCGTGTGTGTCAGTTTGCATGGTCAGTGTGTGTCTACTTGAGTCAGCGTGTGTGTTAGTCTGCATGATTGGGTGAAGCAAATAGGGCGGCAAATTTGTTTTCGCCTAGAGCGCCAAAAATGCTTTCACCGGCCTTGTCTACATCCTTATTGTTCTTCCTGTAAAAAAAAAAACTTTTCTTCCAGTCTAAATGTGTGAGCTTGTGTCCTACATACAGTCCTGTCTATGAATAGATTTACAGACAATAGTTTGTATTGGTCCTACATATATTTGTAAAATGCTATCATATCCCCTCTAGGGTGCAGTTTTTCTAAATGAAATAGATTTAAATGTGTTAACCTTTCTTCACAACTAAAATCTTCCATTCCGTCTATTAATTTTGTAGCCCGCCTCTGCATGTTTTCTAGTGCCATAATATCCTTCTTTAGAACTGCTGCCCAACAATTAATACAGGTGTTGTCTTACCATTGATTTGTAAAGAGGCACAATAATTTTTTTATCCTGAGAATGAATGCCCCTATTTATACATGAACATACTTTACTGGCTTTAGCAACTGCTGATTGACATTGTACACTGTTTCCTAGTTTGTGGTCTAGCACAATTCCCAAATTCTTCTCATGTGTTATCCCTAATTCGCTACAGTTTAGGGTGTAAGTTGATTGTGCATTCTTTACCCCAAATGCATCTACATTAAATTTCATCTGCCATTTAAGTGCCCAGTCCCCCAATCTAACTAAAACCCTCTACAGTGTAGCAATATCCCGCTCATATTGTATTACTTTACAGAGTTTTGTGTCATCTGCAAACACTGAAATATTAATTTATAAATATTAAGGTCGGACCGATTATCCGTTTGCCCGATACTATTGGCTGACAGTCCTCATTTTGGCAATTATCGGTATGTGGAGCGTCCTGGGTGACACTCACATTGTAGAGAGGGCGGCATTGGGCACACGCTATCTTCTGCTTCCGGCAGGTCCTCTCTCCAACTCAAAGAATTTATCAGACTTTACTATAAAGGCCAAAAATTAGGATTTTCCTGGTCTATTTTCCCTCAATAACTAATGATAGACATTTTTCAGTCACTCTAACTACCATAACAGTTGTGCAACATTATAAAGGTTATGGTGTGGAGAATACCTTCCACTCTATCTCAGGGTGTCTTGTAACTGAAGGCATTTGGCAAATTTCTATAGAATAGGATGTGTTGAGGGTAGAATGAAAACAAAACACCACTGTCGTTCGGCAATCAAAAGTTCACTAACAGTGTCTACAGCATGCAGAATTGAACTGATTTGAGAAATATACATGGACTCACTCACATTCCGCGTTGTAGTCCAACTGTACATTACAAGAGAGATTTTACAGTGATTTTATTTTTTTGTTTATTCAATAAATTGATCTGAAAAGTACATTTTAAGACAAAAATCCATCGGTAAATAAACTGGTATCAACCTGTAGACAGATATGTATGCAGAATAGTACTATACCTTGCCGACTTGCGACTCTTCCGATAGTAAAGGAAGAGAACAGCAATCACAATGAGGCTCAGAATCAACAAAACCAGGCAAACGTACCAGAACGCACTAATAGGGGCTAGAAAACAAAGGAAAAAACACAAAAACATAAAAAAAAAAAAAAAAACATTATAATTGTGAATAAGAACCACAAAGTATATAAAAAGAAAAGGTAGGAGGAACATACAATCACTCCTACAATTATCTATATGTTGTTTTTGACAAACTGTGAATTGCTGGGAACTTTATCTCAAAATTGTGGAAACAAAACCAATGTAGAACATTTAATATATAGATTTTGGTATAAAATTAGCAACCCCCCTATGGTGGTAGTTTCCAAACCCAGTTGTGTTAAGGTGTTTATTTTTCCCTTTCTAAAAACACCTTAAACGCAATTGGATAATCCCTAAATCCTGGACTGGTAGGCGTGCCTTGAGGACTGGGTTGGAAACCACTGTCCTGGAGTATTCGAGTTCAGTGAATAAAAATGCAGGTGCTGGGAGAGGAAGCACCAGTTGAAATACAAGCTGTAAATGACAAAGCCAACTTTTCTCACTGACAGGATGAACATTTTTAAAAGAAGTCTCAGGGGACTCAAATTTCTAAAATGAATGAATCCCCCTATTACCATAAACCCCTCACCTTGCACCACACAGAGTAAAGTAAGAGATAGGGACACTTGCCAAGTACTTTCAGGTTAATAGGGAGGTTTAACACATGTTTTTATTTAAGGGGGTACCATATGAGGGTATCGGTTTCAAATATGGGGGAGCTTGGTCTACTTAAAGAATACGCTAGTCACAGCTATCTGGGTTCCACATTCACAGTGATTTAGGGGATAGAAAATCCACCAACCCATGTTCAGTTGTTGAAGAAGATTGAAGCACATTGCTGCCAACTCAGCCGAGGTAATTACAATTATTTATATGGCGGCAACATATTCTGCAGCGCTGTACAACAGGAAGCAAGACAAACATTTAATTCTAACAAAACAAGTAAGACATACTGGAACGGGAGGTGAACCGGGCCCTGTCAAAACAAGCAGAAAATCAAGTTTCTTTTTTTTTTTTAAAGTTAACTGTCTGCTTTTTTTGGGGTGATTATGGGTGAAAATCTACTTTGTATTTATTATAATATACACATTAACAACAAATATTCACAGTAACAATCTCTGATTTTGAAAGCTTATTAAGCTTGTAACAGCAATGCACACAATGGCTCAGATGTAAAACACCCAGGGCAATAAATAAAGCTATTCCGACCTGGCTCTAGGCCAAGTCATGTTCTAAAAACCAACAGTAACATATTATTCATGGACATGGCGAATTTAAAGCTACCTTTCTTTGAATAGATGTAGGTACTTCCCGACATGCTGCCCAGTGAGTTTCTCACTTCACAAACATACAGAACTTTATTCATGTTGTCCGGTACAGTCAAGTGGTTAGTCGCTTTTATATATTCTATGCCCGAGTCACTCTCCCTGTAAAACACAAACAGAATGTTATCTTCACTGGAACTTTACAAATGTTAAAAGGATCGTAAAATGTAATAATGGAAATTGCGACCTGCTCCTAATGCTCAGGATGACAATGTTAGCAATTAGAGTACTCTCTCCTAATGCCTATAGCGTTAGGACAGCCACACAGCAATAAGATTACATGAAATAAATCACAAGTGTTTCTTTTTTCATAAACAATACACAGACACAATGCGCAAAACACAAGTACACACACAATTACATTTTGAATATACCAGCAGATCCATTCAGAATATTTTTCCTGAGCTCTGTAACCTTTTCACTATGCCTGGAGACATGTTTGTTTTGACTGTGGTAGAGCATCAGGTACAGCTCCCAAATAAGCTTTAATGGTCTGGTTATAGTGTCCCTTTAAGACAGCAATTAATTGGAGGTGTGTGCACATTACACATCAAAGAGATATGCCCAGTTGTATTCCTTGTAGAAATCGTATTCATGGGGATAAAGAAATTCAATATATAATATTCTAATATATCCATAAATAAACAGTGCTTCTATGGTCAATCTTCAAAGAAATTCTGAAACCTTACCTTTTCCAAGTAAAATTAAGAGGCACAGGATTGCAATGGTATTGACAGGAAAATTCCAGATGGTTTCCCTTACTGGAGTCCACAAGAAGACGTACATCATAAGGGGCAACTTAAACAAAAACAAACAAAAAAATAGTGGGGTGGGAGGCAAGACCCAAGCATTAAAATGATACATTGTGAACAGAGGACAAAAACGCCATTTATTGTGTTGACATGAGAAGAGATATAATTTAAAGTGCACAAGTTTCTTAAAAGAAACATAGTAGAAATATATTAAAATTATAAGTTTCCACAATGATGCTCAGAATCAACAAGACCAGGCAAGATGCTAAGTAGAGGTTAGCATCATAACCTCTACTGCTCGCCTTAGTTGTTATGGTGCCAGGAGTACACTGGCGTCAACCTTTTGCGTGCAGTCAATTCATTTAGGCACGGTTTGACTTCTAACCACAGGTCTCCCAGGCACTGCTCCCCATTTCCGCTACAAACTCTGGAGAGCAGGAAATTCCTAAGCAGATATAGAGCTAAACCCTGCATTGCACCGCTTAGGAACTTCCAGCTCTCTGGTGTTGGTAGTGGAGACAGGGAGCGGCACCCAGTGGATTCAGGTAAGAAGTCAAACTGTTCAGAAATGGGTTGACTCTCTATAATGAGGGAGTGCCAGGATACCCCCGGCAACATGGCCAATACAGAGAAAGTGGTTATGGTCCTTGGAGTGTCATTTAATCAGAGATGCTGAGGTTATCCACGAATGTATTAGGAAAATAAGACACTGTACAGAATATATAGCACTAAGGACCCTGACCTTTATATTAACTGGGATTCATCTAGCTTTTTTCTTGTATATATTGTATAGATAAAGAATTAAAATGTACAAAAACAATGCATTCAAACCAATTAAAACCTCACATTTAATGGACATTTTCTGCCGCAGATATCTGTCATAATAGAAATCTGACCTACAACTGTACCGTATGTGGATTTATGAGCTATTTGCCTAGATTGGTGGATCAGTTTTCTATCTTAGTAACATTTTACGGATTGCTGTATAGCACAATTTAAATTCTGGCTCCACTACAAAAGTAGGAATTCTGTGCCATACTCACAATGGATATTCCATATGGTTACCGATTTCTCCTGCTTCCATTCAGTTTGCATCTGAGTAACCACACAAGTAAAGTTCTGACCATAGAGATCTCGTAGCGGTTTCATTTTCAACTTGCTCACTACCGTCACACTTAAATTTTCATGCTGTTCTACAATGCTATCTATATTATGTGTGAAATCTCCTGTGTTCCATTTGATAATTGGCGCAGGATTCGCTATAGCAATACATTCGGCCACAATCCCTTCCGGATCGCCTTCTTTTAATGGAGTCGTGGAAGGTTCCAAGAAGATCTGTGGATCTGTAACATAGGTTTTAGTTTAGTATCTTGCTTGTACCAACACGTTTGTTTAAAACTACATTGCCCCCAAAAATGAGAAAAACAGTCAACTTGAAATTGGATTAATTTCGTATGAACAGAGTAGATGTTTTAACAGTTGTTACTTTTTTAAACCTATTTTAATTGACAGGTGAAAAGGACTCAGTTTAATTAAGGATTAACAGAATATTCTAAGTACCATAATCACTACAGTTCACAATAGCAGTTATGGAGCCAGGAGTGTCCTTGCCAACTTCCCTCACCAGTGTAATATTAGTCAAACCGTTAAACTGCTTATGTGGGGTACTAATCCCTGCCTCGAAGAGTTGGAAACTCTCTGCCGGAGCTGCTATGATTACGGTGCTTAGAGAGTTTCCATCATCACGAGTTTTAGCAAATATACAGAGGTGGTTTTGGTGTTTATTGTTCCTTTAAAACTTTGTGTGGCTCAGTTTGAGAAGGTTTGAGGCACCCTCACCCTGGGTGAACACCTCTGACGTAGGAGTCTGTCGAGGCACAGCTCTTTGCATTTCTGTTAGTGGATATGGGTAGTCAAGTACCAAAACAACAACATCTACTAACTGCACACTGTGTCTTTCATAAAATCATTGCAACTAAAAAGCTGCCTATTCTTTCTCAGAAGTTACGAGATGAAGGTTTACATTCAGCCTTTGGAATGGGCTGTGATTATGTAGGCTGGGCAATCACCTTGTGTATCAAATCTCATAAGGTATTAAAATAAGGACGTCATCTCAAATAAACACGCAGTATGAATGAAAAGCTGCAACTCACTTTAATTCACACACTGACAAGATTCTGAGCAAGAGTCGTATCAGTAGAAATGATCAGCACTGAAATAAAAGCTTCAGCCTTTGCCCCTTTACATGTGCAAACATTCTGACAAAAACAAGATTTTACTAAGACACGGAGGCTCCTATTATGCAGCAAAGAAATATAAACATTAAAAAAATCAACAAACAGTGTGTGTGTGTGTGTAATATATATATATATATATATATATATATATATAATAAGAGGTCAATCTTCCCAGTAACTGGAACAGGGGTTCTCCTTTAATTATTCAGTTTTATATTTTATTTGTCCCTTTTATTCTTACTAACGGTCATTTTTTTTCTTTCGCGCCCATTTCTAGTAAGATGCGATTCGCGCATGCGCATCATTCAGTAGTTTTCACCATTCACGATTTTTGTTATATTTTCAATGCCGCGAACGATCATTCAGCATTTTTAGCCGTTCAGTTGTTTGCCTCTATTCGCATGTTTTTTTTTCCCCACCCGCGAATTGCACATTCACCCAGTTCGGTACTTTTGGTAGTTTGTTTCATCTATAATACTTTAACAGGATTTTGATGCGAATGACTTTTCATTTACGTTCGTTACACGAAAATCCACAGTTTGGTGAAATTTCGTGCCCTTTTACCCCATAGCCTTGCCTCTTCCTGTCTAAACCTTGTTGGCGTTTAGCAGTTTTGGCGAACACATGGCTCTTTTTCCTCTCTCTGGGTTATTTCTATAACTGTGAGTTTACTTTTTCAACATTTCCTTCCCTTGTGGGTTAATAAACCCTATATTTAGGTTTACTATACTGTACTTATCATTCAGTCTGACAGGGATTTGCCCATGGCCTGTGGATCAAATGAGACACCTCAGGTTCCCCATGATGACACCCTTCCCTGGTTTTCTATCCTGATTTTCCTGCATATGCAGACATGTAGGTGCTTTTGGACGCCTTATTGTCCAGATCTACGACGCAGGCTCTGATTTCTGCTATGGGCATGATGTCTACCTCTTTGTCGCAAACCATCTCTCAGGCCCATTTGCAAGCACAACAATCTGCTCAGCAGACGGTCATTTCGACTGCACCTATGCAGGCACCTGTCCCACAAGGCCATAAAGCTACGGCCAAGTCTAAACACTCCTCCAAAAACAGATTTGACAGACAGCTTTCCTGCTGTCACGGATGGCACACAAATACCATTGCGCAAAAGAGCCACTAGTTGGGCAAAATCGGCTTGACAATAGAAGCAGTCGAAAGCCCAGTTTGATTTGTCTGAGTCTGAACTCAGCGACATTGAGGAGGAGAGCGATGAGTCCATATTGGACGTCTCAGACGACCAGTTTGAACCAGACTCCGATGGTGCAGGGGGAGAGGCGAACGCCTCTTCACACAGCACCTTCCCCGCTAAGGTTTCCCATCTAAGTGTGTAGGGCACTGGCGACAATACAAAAAATTTTGGATTCTGTTTGATCCAGAGGAATTGAGGCATCCGCGTTCAGCGAAGTTGTGCCCTTCTGAACATGTGACGAGATCTGGAGTCCATAAGCCACACGGAACAAGTTACGGGCCCTGCTGTCCTGGATGATGTAAAACACCAATTGTAGATCCAAAAATTGTTCAGTTTTTGGGGGAAAACTGGATGGAAACACAGGAAAGGTTTGTATTTCTCACTGACCCACTGTCAGGATAATGACAGTGGGTCAATGTTCTGGACATTTAGGCCCTGCTGCCAAAATTTTTGATGTGGTCGATTTGGATCAAGACACCCCCCGTGGTTGGAATTATCTGCCTTGTTGGCAATGTAAATACTGCGCTGGCTACTGAGCGCCGCAAATCAATCTTGTTCAAAATTTAACCTAAGCTGGTTAATTTAGCTCTTAAAAGGGACACTGTAGTCACCAGAACAACTACAGCTTATTGAATTTGTTCTGGTGAGTAGAATCATTACCTTCAGGATTTTTGCTGTAAACACTGTCTTTTCAGAGAAAATGCTGTGTTTACATTATATCCTAGTGATTACTTCACTGGCCACTCCTCAGATGGCTGTTAGAGATCCTTCCTGGGTCATGGCTGCCTAAATGCATCCAAACATTCAGTATCTCCTCCCTCTGCATGCAGACACTGAACTTTCCTCATAGAGATTCACTGATTCAATTCATCTCTGTGAGGAAATGCTGATTGGCCAGGGCTGTGTTTGAATCATGCTGGCTCTGTCCCTGATCTGCCTCTTTGTCAGCCAATCTTATAGGGAAGCACTGTGATCATGTCAGCACTTCTGATCATGTCAGCAGACTGATTGTTTTTCTGAGTCTAACAGCATGCAGAGTTACAGTTTCAAGCTTGAATACAGTAAGTTTTTTACTATATTTATAGAGGCATGATGGGTCAGGAATTCATGTTTGTGTTCCTGACCCTATAGTGATCCTTTGATGAGCCAACTTTTCGGTGACTTTTGTTTAAAGAGTTGGGGTCATTTAAAGTTAAATGGGCACCACACGACCTCTTGTGTGTGGTCGACCATTCGGTAGTTTATTCGTTTCATGAACAGTGTTGAAACTCACTGTTGGTGAAACTACATTGGGAATGCTGGGTTTTTCACACTGCAAGCATACGAACGCCATTCGAGGTTTATTCAATAAAATTTGAATTGTACTCTTAGTAGTTGATAACATGAGAAGTATGCTGACTGTTATTTACATCAATTATTTGGGTAAATGAGAAAAATATAAATTTGTATAATAATTTGGAACAGGGTGTAAACTAACTCTCTAATTTGCCATATGTCTAGATTCACTCTTAGATAGGGGGTCCTTTGACATGTTAATGGCCATTAGCCTTGTGTTCCAGTATCATATCTAAAAGAAACATTAATACTTACCCACAGAGTAATAATTAAGCCTTATTTTTATTAAATTTAGAATGGGACAAGCACAACCTTCTAATTAAGCCAAAGCATGAACCGCGTAACTTAACCATAAGGGAAGGAATTGTGATGTCCGCTATGTTGGGTATCAAATAAGAAGTGTGCATTATCTATGGAATGGGAAAATGGTAACAAATTCATAGATGCAATTATTTCTGTGGCAAGTTCACAAGAGGAGATAGAACCAAATGTTTCTATTTGGATTGATGTTGGTGTGGAACACAAGGGTTGGTCACGTATTGTTTCTGTAGGTACACCTTTTTTCCACCTCTGGGCCAGGCTTGGTAATCCACAGGGTACATATCTAATGATTCTGAAATGTGTATTGAACTTGCTTGGTGCCAAAATCTAATTTTGAGTGCGTCACCATCTTCCTTGCCAGAGACCCCCTAGGGCAGAAGTTTTACTTTGAAAACCTGAGTAAGTGATTAGGACTTCTGTTATTTTATTCCTTTTGTTTTTTTAAATTTTTTATCTGTTGATGGTGTAAATAATTTGATTGTCATCTATATTTTTGTACGCACTATTGACAATTTTTTTGCTCATAAATATTGTTTTATTAAGTTCTGCCTTTGTCTGGTAAAGATTTCGTGACAAAGAGTGTCGTCCCACGGGGGTATTCAACCACGAGCGACGGGTGGGTACCACAAGTAACAAAAGGGGGAGGGGAAACGTATTGTCTCCACTCCTTGCCCCCACCCATGAGCAACAGGTAGGGGCCCTAAGTAACAAAAGGGCTGGGGAGCAGACCTATTGTCTCCGTCCGGCCCTCACCCATGAGGAGTAGGTGAGGGGCAAAACTAACAAAATGGGTAGGGGGGAATTGTCTCGTCCCCACACATAAGCATTTTTTCAGTCCCCAAAAAGGCCAAATAAAATGCCATAATTCCCATCGACTTAATAAAACCCTGATGCTAAAAAAAATAATCCATATTCACTCAGCGATGGCACCGCGCAGACTGAGCTCCACAGGGCAAGGAAAGGTTTATAAAGCCTTCCCCACGCCCTGCAGTTTGAGTCAGAGCACTCTGATTGGTTGGTTTAAGACAACCAATGAGAGTACTCTGATTGGTAACTTGCAAGGCTCAAATTTACCTATCAGAGCACTGTGTGTTTAAGTAAAAAAAGAAGACATCTAATGGTAAGCATGAATTATTTTTGTTTTACAGGTATTTAGTTTTTTCCTCCCCCCCCTCACTATTTTTAGGGTGAGGGGGTAGGTAGGGTTTAATTTTATTGGGGAGGGGG